TAGCATAATGTGTGTGTGTGTGTGTGTGTGTGTGTATATACACACACTGTTACATTGATAGTTTGACACTTTTTTTCCTTTTTTGGGGGGGAGTGCTTATTTTTTGTTTTATATACCTTATATACTCGAATATAAGCCGAAGCACCTAATTTTACCACAAAAAAACCTAGGGTGGGAAATGCAACAGCTACTGGTAAATTTCTAAATAAAATTAGAGCCCAATAAAATTACATTAATTTTATATTTTTTTACAGAATGTGTATATAATTAATGCAGTGTGTGTTTGTGTAGTGTGCGTGTATAATGAATGCAGTGTGCGTGTGTATAATGAATGCAGTGTGTGTATATATATTTACACATTATTATTATTAAGAGATGCCTGAGATATCTAGCCCAATTTGAAACACACTAAGTGGCATTTACTATAAAGCTGCAAATGTAGTATAAAGCACCACTAATGGATTAAGAGATGTTAATTCAAGCAGAATGTATGGGACTCACTCGTGTGTTTTTTTGTTGTTTTGTTTTTTTTCTCTTGTGTGTGAACATGTCACATTGTTTTCCCACAGAGACCTTGGCATGAATATGAGCACAATTTCCAGATAATGTACAAAGTAGGAATGGGACACCAGCCCCCCATTCCAGATCGAATAAGCCCTGAAGGGAAAGACTTCCTTTCTCACTGCCTGGAAAGTGATCCAAAGAAGAGATGGACAGCTAGTCAACTCCTGGACCATCCATTTGTCAAGGTTAGCAAAATAAAGTCTCTTCTGGTTTAGATCTGTGTAGATTGTAATTTTATTTGGTTCATAAGATGAAACTCAGGAACTCATAGCAGGAGTTCTCATAGGAAGGAGTGGACTAGTAAAAGGGAAAAAAAGAAAACTGCACCTATTAGCAGGGGTGAGGCAAGAGTTAGTGACACTGATGATTGTTTTTTTGTGTCTTCCTTTTTCTAATAAAAACATCTTTCCCACTAATGAGACTTATGGGAACTTAAATCTGCAAATCGTGAAATCTGTTCAATTAACAATGTAATTATAATAAACCATAGAACTGTAGCTGTTCTATCATTTCTAGTTTTGTTCTGCTGAGTATCATGTGAGATGTAGTCCAGAAACAATGGATCCACTTGGCACTGTGTTCGTTGGCCACAATGTTCATGATACTCATCCAACTTACTACATTCTCTGCAATAATAAACCAGGTCTCATCGTGATGCTCAGCCATTTTACAGGACTGAACAGTTTAGGAAAGTATCCACAAATGATAACTAACATTTACTAACCCTTTTTGCTGTAAACTTAGCAGCTTCAGAGAAACTGACATGTTTACCTATGGGTTAATCCAGCCTCTAGTGGCTGTCTCATTGACTTTCACAGTGAGAAGACGCTAGCATCCATAGGAAAGCATTGAGAATGCTTTCCTATGAGACTGGCTGAATGTGCGTGCGGCTCTTGCCGCGCATGTGCATTCAGCCGATGACCTCAGAGGAGGGAGGAGAGTGGTGCTGGAAAAAAGGTAAGGGATTAACCCCTTCCTCCTCCTTCAGCGCCACGGGAGTGGGACCCTCAGGGCACTATAGTGCCAGGAAAAATTGTTTGTTTTCCTGGCACTATAGTGGTCCTTTAACTTCAGCTACTTCCCTCTCTCCAATCCCAGCCATTCTTCTTATTTATGCCTCTTTACTTACCTTGTTGATATGCACAGCCATACCAACCTTGGGCATAAGTCACATACTTTCACCATTTCAATTTTTCCTTGATCTTCTACATGGGTAGTCTGTGAAAGTGATAGAAAACACTCTTTCTGCATTTTATGGGGTATTGTACCAGAAATCTCACACACACACATACTAGCACATGACTAGCACACTGGACACAGCAGGCGTGAATTCAGCACTTTATTTCAGAGGGGGGGCAAAGCCACAGTATATATTGTAAGAAACCGAAAAGTAAATGTGCTGTTTATAGTGAATACCCTTACTTGCATTGCCCATTATCCTAGCACTTTGTAATACCATGAATTATTGTGATAGATATATATATATATATATCTAACGTATGTAGTCGTGGAGTTTCAAGCAGCACACAGAGCCAGGTTGAAGCATCTGCTGTCTTCACAATCCAGGTGAGGATGTATTCTGAAAGTGGAAAGGTCAGGGCCTAGATAGTGGAAGAGACTGGATCAGCACATTAAAATGTCCTAGTTACTGATGTTGAATTGTCTCTTTATTTCTGACAGGTTTGCACAGATGAAGAATGAAGCTGTTTTGGAAATGTGGCCTAATGTATTTCAGCAAGTCATCTCCTAATCACTACTGTATGTAATATTTACATAAAGACTTAAGCTGGGGCACACAGTGCAGCATTGTATATAACCATGACTAAAGACTGCACAGATGACGTGTCACAACTCTTGCTGCTGCTCTTGTACATGTTATCCATGTGACCACGTCCTGCACGTTTTAATGAAGCTGCATGTTTCGGTGAAGTGCCATTACTACTGTACATGGACCATTATTTTTTTTATCTCCCTTTTATTTCTCATATGATTGAGAACTGTAATAAAAAAAAAACTTAGTACCGTTTTGAACTTCAAATGTAAGTTGTATTATTACCAGGTGACCTGGATCTTGTAAATGTTTTTACTTTTCTGTTTGAGTGCACTGTGAACCTCTCATTTTTGGGCCAGCTTCAGAATTGTTATGCAACAAGAAAAGCTAATGAAATAGGAAGAATGTTTTCTTAATAAATGGTTTATTTTAGGATGCTCCCGGTCTGTTTTCCTGACAGGTATAAGTAGTCTTAATGAACTTAATTAGAATTGATTTTTTATTTTTCACACTTTGCGAGTGCTGTGAAAGAGCAAATTCTGTGGTCGGCGTCCACCAGAGGTGATGACCACATTTTCCCCTTTAATTCAGAATTTTCACAAGTTAAACCTGAATGGAAAAAGTAAAGGGAAGAGGTTGTGACTAGAGCAGAGTTGGAGAATTTTTATAATTGTATCAAGAAGGCAATTTGCGCTAAATACACTGGAAACACTTTGTTCAGTGAATAACAGTATACAAACTGCAGTGTTTTAGAAGTAATCTTATGAAATACTCCTCAAATGTTTTCAGTTGAAAACAGGACTAAATGCAGTAAACCATAGAGACACAGTCCCACAAAGCAAATTACTTCAAGAAATATTAGTGGATCTAAATAGGGATAAAATCCTCTTAAGTAAAAATGCTATGAGTAAAAATTATCTCCTTGAAACTATTCCCAACAAGGCAAATAACTGCAAATCAGCTGAGCACTGCAGAAAAAGAATGCCAACAATATCTGTGTTTCAATACTTAATGAACTGGTCAGGTTGCCCCATAAAGTATGAACCAATCTGGGCTACATTCTTCATGTAAAACAAAATAACTAGAATTGGTTACAAAAAAAAAAAATCTAGTGGTACAACTTTTAGATTTTATGAACATCACAATTTGATTAGAAAAAAAAGTTAAATAAGACTTTTTCAGATCAGTGCTGTTTTTCTGTTTCTCTATTTTGATTGAATTCAAAAAAATTCAGAGTTTAGTAAATAGTCATGTCAAGGGCTCTTGGCAGATGCCCAAATCTGAAAAGACTCAGGGCAAGTAGACACAAGGATATAGTTAAGTCTTATTTCCAAACTATCACTATATATTTTATGGACAGATGTATTTTGACAATAAAAATAACCTGGCTAAAAATAGTTTATAGCTGGATTTATACATAATATACTCGACAATTGCAATGGATATGTCTTGGTCATATCACTAACTGGATGGTATATAATGTCAAGTATTTAGCTAATGCAACTATTCCACTGTTTCACTGCTACCACTTCTATATCTTCATGGGCACTGCATCCATTATATCACAAACTTTCTTTACTTTATCTTACTGTTCTTAACTTTATCTTAACTCCCTGCACTCCTCTTCTTTAAACTTAAATAAACATTGCAATGACCATAATAATTTTAATACAGAAATTATGTATGCAATTCCACTCCAGGCACCCAGACCACTTCAGCTTAATGAAGTGGTCTGGGTGCCAGGTCCAGCTAGGGTTAACCCATTTTTTTTATAAACATAGCAGTTTCAGAGAAACTGCTATGTTTATTAATGGGTTAAGCCTTCCCCCTAATCCTCTAGTGGCTGTCTCATTGACAGCCACTAGAGGCGCTTGCGTGCTAAAATCACAGTGAGAGCACGCCAGCGTCCATAGGAAAGCATTGATAATGCTTTCCTATGCGACCGGCTGTATGCGCGCAGCTCTTGCCGCGCGTGCGCATTCAGCCGACGGGGTGGAACGGAGGAGGAGAGCTCCCCGCCCAGCGCTGGAAAAAGGTACGTTTTTACCCCTTCCAGAGCCGGGCGGGAGGGGGTCCCTGAGGGTGGGGGCACCCTCAGGGCACTATAGAGCCAGGAAAACGAGTATGTTTTCCTGGCACTATAGTGGTCCTTTAAAGAAAAACTGATTAGTTGTTCTTCATAGTTAAAATAAAACTCAACCAAAGCCCGTGCAGTTAATGCTCATTCACAAAAACAGATTTGGTGTGCATCTCAAAAATATTCACTCCAAGTGCTTCTTACCAAAGAGGATTCAAGATGGCCATCCTCACCAATCAAACAATATACCAGTATATATGATCTTTTATTTTCAGTATTAAAAAAAAAAAAAATAGGCAGTTTTCCAGTACATTAACAGGTGTTTGTGGTTCAAGGTATGCTAGTAAGCCATATATATATTTTTTTTATATAATTTCTAATTTTGTTTTCTAATATATATAAAAAAAAAAAGCTTTCAGACATTTCTGAGATGTCATTTTCCAGCAATGAATTAGACAATGGAGAAACCTTGGAATGAAAAGCAAGTTTATCGTTAAAAGGGAACTGTCACTTCTTTGGAATGTACAGCGTTTAATAAAATATTGAAAATTACCTAAAACATGTGTTAACCTTTTTTCAAAAGATGCCCCTGTTTGTTTTAAGTTGATATTAAAGATGTAGCAAATTACATCACAACCCAGTCACACAAGGCAAACAAGGAGAATAAATAGAAATATTAGGGGGTTATGTACAATGAGTAATTCTGGTCCAGAATTGTACAAGTGGAGCAGGTGGCAAGAACATTCCATTGAATTTTAATTTTCACATCTCACATATGAATTTATTTATTTTTTAATACAGGGATAAGTAAAAATATAAAAAATACCGGGAAGTGACAATTCCTCTTTAAAACCTATCTGCTCAATTTCCTTTATCAAAAAAGTGATGTAAATGTATATATTGCAAGGGCAATTTCAGATGTAACTAACCACAGAATTGTATTCCAGGGAAAGTAAAACCAGAGTTAGCAATTTCTTTGAACACTTTGTTTTATTTTTTTAAATTTTTTTTAAAATATGCTGCATGGGAAAATGAACCTGTGACTTCCATTTAAATGAGAACAGAAATAAATCCTCTTTTCTCCAACAAAACCACATCCTGTTAAAAGAAAAGTTTAAAGTTGATCAGGATGTTTAGCAGCCAACTCACCTTTTAACATTTTTTCCATTCTATGTTAAAGCAGGTCTGTCACAATATGGATCTCTCTGCTAAAGCACAAGGGCAATGTGCATCCACACTCTCATTGACAGCGACTAGAGGCCGCCTCCGCGATTCTCACTGTGATTTTCACAGTGAGAAGACACTGACGTCCATAGAAAAGCATTGAGTAATGCTTTCCTATGGGCGTTTTGAATGCGCGCGGGTCTTGCCTCGCATGCGCATTCTGCTCCTCTCGGGAACCAAAGTTGGAGGGGGAGGAGAGGTCACCAGCGACGAGGAAGCCTGGCACTGGATAAAGGTAAGTGGCTGAAAGGGGACCCGGGGGGGGTGGGGAGGGAAGACTAATGATTCTGTAGTGCCAGGAAAACAAGTCTGTTTTCCTGGCACTAGAGTGGTCCTTTAAGCTGATGGAAGTCCCTTATTGTTCTTGTTTTTAATGTAATCAAAGCCTAAAATAAGCATAATTTTTTTGAAGGGTGTTTTTAAACTAAGGTTGTTTTCTGCCAATGTTGTGTGTAAAAAAATAAATAAATAAATAAATAAATAAAAAAGTGACCTGCTCTAAAAAGCTATTTTATTTTTTGTTTTGCTGTAACATTCATTTGAACTATGCACCTAGGAAGTATAGGGATAAAAAAATCTTTATCAAGGTGGTGTTGTTTAATTGCCTGAGATGTGCTTTTACACTGTAATTCACCAAGCCATGAGTAGCCAAGGCTTCCAGGGTTAGCATGCTGGCACCAAAAAAAAAAGCTTCACAAAACTGATATTTTCATCCAGAAACAAAATGTTCCCACTGGTTGTTTAACCCCTTCGTCAATAGTACAAGTTCTGATCAAAACATAATTTAAACAAAAACTGGAATTTGTGCTATTTGTCTGTTCAACCGTAATTCACCTCTTTCATATTAAGTGCACCCACACTTATTATATATCATTTTATTCAGGAGAAACAGGGCTTTAATTTCCCATGAACTATTCATATATGAAACATAATTTATTATAAATAAAATAAAAATCTGTGAGAAATTAAGATAATTTGTAGTTCTGCCTGACATTTTAGCTGTACATATAATACTCCTAGCTTTTAATGCAATAAAATATTTGTATTCAGCAATATCTCACGGGTAAATCAGTACCACCCATTAACAGAGTTTACGGTGTTTTGGAAAGTTTCAGAGTAAAATATAGCACATTTAATTTTTCATTTTTTTCACATTAAAATTTGCCCCACCCACACTTATTATATATCATTTTGTTCAGGAGAAACAGGGCTTTCATTTAACATCAAATATTTAGGTATGAAACATTTAATATGAATAAAATATAAAAAAAATTGGAGAAAAGATATTTGAATTTTTTTTTAGTTCTACGTGACTTTTTAACGGTGAAGGTCATAATACTGTTTGCTATTACTACAATAAAATACACATATTTGTATTCAGCGATGTCTCATGTGTAAAACAGTACCCACTATGTACAGGTTTTATAGTGTTTTGGGAAGTTACAGGGTCAAATATGTCATGTTCCATTTTTCAGTTTTTTCACATTGAAATTCGCCAGATGGGTTTGTTGCCTTTGAGACTGTATGGTAGCCCAGGAATGAGAATTACCCCCATGATGACATGCCATTTGCAAAAGTAGACAACCCAAGGTATTGCAAGTGGGGTATTTCCAGTCCTTTTTAGTAGCCACCTGGTCATAAACACTGGCCAAAGTTAACGTTCATATGTTTTTTTGTGAATAAAGCAACAAAACAAATATTTGGCCAGTGTTTGTGACTAAGTGGCTACTAAAAAAGACTGGACTTGCAAAACCTTGGGTTGTCTACTCTTGCAAATGGTATGCCATCATTCTCATTCCTGGGCTACCATACGGTCCCATAGGCAACATTACCAAACTGGCAAATTTCAATGTGAAAAAAATGAAATGTAAGCCTTATATTTGACTCTCTAACTTTCCAAAACACCATAAAACCTGTACATGGGGGGTACTGTTATATTTGGGAGACTTCACTGAACACAAACATTGTTTCAAAACAGTAAAACATATTACAACAATAATATTGTCCGTAAAAGTGCCGTTCGTGTGTGAACAATGCAAAAAAACTCAATTTACTGAAAATATCATAATTCTAATACAATTTACCATTTTAAAACACTAATATTTGTGTTTAGCAAAGTCTCCCGAGTAAAATGGTATGCCCCATGTACAGGTTTTATGGTGTCTTGGAAAGTTATAGGGTTAATTATAGTGCTAACCATATAATGGAGTCACATCTCGAAATAGGCTGTAGGTATCATGGACTATTGTATTATTGATTAGTGCATAATGTGCATAAAATATTAGTAGTCATAGCTACCCAGATACGAGTCTGGAATATACCTATGAGTGCTTTCCCCCAGGGTGGCACCATAGGCTGCTATTAAGACCATACAATGCACTTAAATGTACCTTACCAGCTGATGTGTAACCCCATACCGTGTGATAATTAACCAAGGTACATGAAATAATGGTAATATAGGGAGATGAAGAGATATATTGAAGTTCGGGATAGTCTGCAGCTGCAGAACCTCTCAACCTAAATATAGTCTCCAAAATGACACTCCAGTGGTGTCTGGGGCTTAACCCCTTATGATTCACAGAAAAAATATATAAAATATCCTCATTCAAAACAGAACAAAGAGACTGCTTAAAAATGTTGATATAGTCTGGATATTGTAGAAAGCTATACACAATGTAAATCTATCTAAGAACCAAAAATAGTAGACGAGTCAGGGTGAATACTAAATCAAATTTGCTTTCCTCTGACTGAAAATTAACCCAATTAGATTCCCTATAATAAAGGCTTTATTAGAAATTGGCCAAGCTAAGGTCCATCCTAAGGGTAGTAAATGTTCACTCCGGTATGTGAACATAGTTAGAGGCTTTGGGAATGCTGGTGTATCCTTAATACAAGTCTCCAGATTCTCAACGGTTTCTTTAAATAAAAAGTCCAACTGGTTATAAAATGCCATCTACGGCAGATACAATTGGTTGAGTTCTTATGAACCTTTGGAAGTGTATATATGACCGGAGTTTTGGATGAATTTTGTAATAAATATTGGCTAAGTTCCAAAGTGAAAAAGCCACTGTCCAGTCCTCTTTGTAGTGTATTGCTAATCTGATGTTTAATCCTTTCCGTGGGGTCTCCCGTGAGGGCTTGATAAATCTTCAAATCAGATAGTTGTATAATCTCCTGGCGATAATCCTTGTAGTTCTGCAGGACCACGCCACCTCCTTTATCAGGTGGTCTAATGACAATGTTACTGTCTATAGATGCATATCTGATGATTTGTCTCTCCTTGGTAGAACAGTTAGAATGAAAGTGGTGTGGACATTTAAGAAAGTCTGTGGTTTCCTTCTGTACTGACCGTAAAAATGTTTTGATGGCTGGCTGGTTGGGTAGTGGATCAAAAGTGCTGTGTTTTTTGACCAAGTGGCTAAAAAGACTGGACATACTCCATTTACAATACCTTGGGTTGTCTACTTTTGCAAATGATATGCCATCATGGGGGTAATTCTTATTCCTGGGCTACCATATGGTCTCAAAGGCAACGTAACCAATCTGGCGAATTTCAGTGTGAAAAAACTGAAATATGTAACACACTATATTTGACCCTGTAACATCCCAAAACAACATAAAACCTGTACATAGGGGGTACTGTTTTACACATGAGACATTGCTGAATACAAATATGTGTATGTTACTGCAGTAAAAGCAAACAGTATTTTGACATTAACAGTTAAAATGTCACATAGAACTAAACATTTTTTTAAATTATTTACTCCCCCTTTTTTATATTTTTTTCATATTAAATTCGCTTCCATACCTAAATATGTGATGTTAAACGAAAGCCCTTTTTCCCCTGAATAAAATGATTTATAATAAGTGTGGGTGCATTTAATATGAAAGAGTTGAATTATGTTTGGACAGACATACAGCACAAATGCCAGGGTTTGTTTACGATCACAACTTGTACATTTGGCCCCCCCCCAAAAAAAACCTGTAGTAAAATTTTTTTTTTTTTACAATTTTAAACTTTGCGAAAACGTTGTCAGTCCCTCTTATAAAACACTTGTCCTGCCCCGCCCCCTCCTACAAAACCCCTGTCCTGCACCTTCTACAAATCCTGTACTGCACCCCGTCTGCACAACCACTGCAACTCCCTTCCACAAATCCCCTGCTTATCTCCCCTTATAAACACTCCTGTCCCAATACAAAACCCCTGCCCCTTCTACAAAATCCTTGCAGTCACACTCACACACAGTTACAGACAGACAGTCACACATACATTGACACACACACACGGTCACAGGCAGACAGTCACACACTGTCAGGATATTTCTATCGGCAGACATTTTGTGCTAAGATAGAAATTAAAAGTGTATATTGCCAGAGTCACTCAGAAAAGAGCGGACTCCATTTTGGATTTCAGGCAAGACAGACACAAAATTTCTTTCCTTTCTGTAACTAGCCACTAGCCTGAGCTAAGGAATGCATTATGTAAACAAGCCAAGTGATAAGCAATGAAGCAGGGGGATGGAATGCTCTGTTTAAATGTTAATGGAATATAAATAATTTTAAACACAGACACTAGTGACAGAGAAAAGTAAGTAATTTTACTCTCTAAATTTTACAAGGTCCCATTGTAAGTAAGGGGTGAAATTGAGTTTTGAACTGTCAATTTTAGAAATTACGATCAAAGTCGTTGCCACAAAGACTGAGGCAAACGCTTTGAACCGACAGCAAATTTAAGTTATGGTAGTAATTTTAGATAAGCCAAATGACGTCAAAATCGTCATCAGGAAAAGTTAACTCCTTCCTGAATAGGAAAGTTTAATTAGGCAATTACGCCCTCTATTGACCAAAAACTATATAATACTAGATAATGTAGACACACCTACAGTTTCCTATTGGCCTTATTAACTAATGAAGTACAGAGAGTCTGGCCCTTTAAAAGTTAGGACAAAGGGAAGAGAGAAGGTTAGTTTGGGCTTTTAGATTCGGACTAACACTCAACTCTCAAATTCTCTTGAACACAACTCAAGAAACACTCCTTGACACTTAGAATTTTACTATTACTTTCTAACCAACATCACTTTTCTCTATTACTTACCTCCATACAACCAATCATACTCGCATTCAAGTTCCTGGGACTACCGACTCATCTGATGAGAACATCTACATAACTGGTAATTATGCTGGTTTTATTTAATTAATTTAAATTAATTAAAAATTTGCTAATAGCATGATATATGACTTGATAAATCACGGTCAGATTTCAATATTTAGAAATCTTAGTTAACTAAAGAATATATAGTTATAAACATTCCATTCTGCAGGTGGAATTAAGAATAATTATATATTAATGTGATATTATCGTGTTAGCATACCGCTGTTTTTATCCAGGTGTATTGATTTGCTCTAAAATAAGATAAGAGATCTTTTTAGGCAAATTAAAATTCGGCTTTTGTAAAACTCTGGTAGATTATTCTTATTGGTTGGTTCCAGGAAATGATTAATGAGCTGGTTCGAATGTTATTTTAATTGAAAATTACATGAGAATAGGATACTATATGCCTAGGAGGATCTAGCCAGCATTGAAAGGGTTACTCAGTTGATCTGTTAGCCAAGGTGTTAACACTTTTCGCTGTGCTGTGTGACGTTTTGCTTTCTGTGTCTGTGAAGTACCCTCATAAATCAGTTAATGCTGTAGCTTGTACTATTTTTAGCCATTACCATTGTTTACGACGACGTACTAATAATATTCACTGATTATCACGCATGTTACATATAATTTTTTTGTCACAATAAATTATATCTATTTTTATAACAAATTGTGATTTTATTTGTATGGAATACATTTCACTTAGATGATCTCTAAGATCTAAGAGAATTGAAATAGTGGGCAATTCTCAACTGTATAATATTATCATCACATAAATATCCCCACATATTGGAGGCACTGCTGAGATCATTAAATTGAAATTATATTCCATACAATAATTCTGAGGCGTTGCTATTGGTGTAATTCATGCAGTATTAATCTTGATATAGAAAAGAGTTTTGTATTGAGGCTGAATCCAGCGCTTCATCTCAATCAGAGAGTGGGAAGTAGTTATTAGACATGCAAGTTTTTCCCTTAAGCATCTTATATAAGCATCTAAAGATTAAAATGGATTATAAAGAGTGGGTATTCCAAATTAGAGAACAAGTTTATAATTCGATTCATGATAGATCGGGTAATTCACCTATGGTTAAACATGTTAGCAACATAGACGAAGACTCTACAATGCAGTCTGTTACCAAATCATGCCCGTTTTTCATATTGGGTTATTCAATTATGTTAAAAAAGCATAATGAGATAGAACTTAAATTGGACGAGTGTCAGAAAGACTCAAAGGTTCAACACTTTGTCTGATGAAAATAATATCCTTCAGGCTAAAAACTCTGACCTTTCAAATAGACTGAAAGGAATGAGCAAAATGATGGATGATGAACAGCAGATAAAACAGATACAGTTAGATGAATATCATCAGGAAAGTGAAAAACCAATGGGAAAAAACCCAGGCGATTCTTCTCAATTCCCTGATATTCGCCGATCAGACCAGGTTTCCCTAAAAGAGTCTCAAAGAAAAGATGTGAGTAATTCTGGCAATCTTGGGCAGAACAGTTTGAAAAGACTGTCTTGGCCAAACTTGAGAGGGAGAGTCCAGTTCAAGGTGATAGGAATGAAAACAGACATGGTTCTGTGCACTGGGAGAACTCTGATGCTGATCAGAATTGTGACAGTGAAATAGCTCAGAGTGATGGGAGTGAAAGTGATTGCACTGTCTACTCTGAAGGCCATGTGACAGATCCGTACAACAGTGCAGTTGGCTTATCAAATTCCTCTTCAGCAGCCAGATCGCATAGACGTTTACCTAAACGCAGGGACAATAGAAACAGGATTAAAGGACCACTCTAGGCACCCAGACCACTTCAGCTTAATGAAGTGGTCTGGGTGCCAGGTCCAGCTAGGGTTAACCTATTTTTTCATAAACATAGCAGTTTCAGAGAAACTGCTATGTTTATGAATGGGTTAAGCCTTCCCCCTAATCCTCTAGTGGCTGTCTCATTGACAGCTACTAGAGGCGCTTGCGTGCTTCTCACTGTGATTTTCACAGTGAGAGCACGCAAGCGTCCATAGGAAAGCATTATGAATGCTTTCCTATGTGACCGGCTGAATGCGCGCACAGCTCTTGCCGCGCGTGCGCATTCAGCCAACGGGGAGGAGAGAAGGAGGATCGGAGGAGGAGAGCTCTCCGCCCAACGCTGGAAAAAGGTAAGTTTTCCCCTTTTTCCCCTTTCCAGAGTCGGGCGGGAGGGGATCCCTGAGGGTGGGGGCACCCTCAGGGCACTATAGTGCCAGGAAAACAAATGTTTTCCTGGCACTATAGTGGTCCTTTAATAAATCAACTATGCCTGTGTATGAAACGCCAAAGGTTATTAAATTCCTCAAAGAGACAGTCCCACAATTTTCTAGAAGTTCAGGAAACATATCTGAACATCTGGAAAATTATGAAAGAGCCATGAATTCATTGGGCATGTATGATGACATCCAAAAGAAATGGTTCATCACGTGGACCTTTGATTCAATGTGCCGTGTTTATCTAGAAAGTCTTCTTGTCCTGGTCCAAGATGAAATATGAAATAATCATGGAATATGGTAAGTATAAAACCATTGCTTCTTCTAAGAAAGCGCTCTATAACTTAAAGTGCCGTCCAGATCAAAGCCTCAGAGAATTTTTAATAATTCTTAAAAATGCATATTCCGTGGCCCAAAGAAAACCCAGGTATGAAAGTACAGACTTCAAAGATCTGTATTTTCATGCCATGCCGGTAAACATACAAATGAATCTCGTAAGTTACCATTAGAATGGCTAGTCAGTCAGTGCATGAAATTGTATGCTATACACCATGCACATGACGAAAATCAGCCAAAGGTTAAGAAACCTGGTGATAAAATGGAAACCGAAACAACCAATCTGCTTCCAGTAACTCCCAACAGTCTCAGCCATCCCAGCCTAATTATAATGGACAAAGACAAAACGGCAATGGGGGAAATAATTTGCGTCGTCAGGTTGGTCAATTGACTGACCAGATGGGCAAATTAATGGAGGAAATGACAAAGATTAACCAAGTCTTTGCCAGAAATCCTTTTTTTTAGGGACAGCTCCAATTGCAGAGCCACCTGTGCAACTGCAGCAGCAGCAACAGGTGCCGCAGCAATAATATCCACTGTGACTAAACAGGCTAGGTTGTCAGTAGATGTAATACCTAACCCTGTTTCCTTTCCATGTACTAACAGTCAAACAAAGAATAGTTGTGTTAGGAAACCTATTGCCTACCCCATCACTTCACTTCCGGGTGAAGAAGGCGCAACGTGTTCCTCTGCTTTTTCATTTCAGCCAAAGGCTAAAGTAGCCCCAGCAGCCACTAGTTTCCAGGATCCATCCCTGAAAGGGTTAACTGATGAGATGCCGACCACTAGTTCCCACTTGACAGTTCAAAATATTCCTAAGAAGGATGGGCCTGTGGGTAAGACTGAGCATTCCTCAGTACAGGTAGAAACTACTGCTGGGACAGGTAACGTATGGAAAACGAGTGATATGTTGACACATTCTAAATTCTTATGTGAATTAGAAGAACATAAAGGAAGGTACTACATATCTGTAGAAATACAAGATTCGCTACCCCAACCTTTCAAAGGGTTAATGGATACTGGTTCACAAGCCACTATCTTATCCAATACCTACTTCCAGCAGGTAATGGACTTGGCAGCGGATAAGCTGAAGCTAAGAGATTTCCCCAATGCTCTGTTGAGTGTAGGAGGAAATGCCCTTCATGTTATTGGCAATACCTGGTTAAAATTTAAAATAGGTAACAAAACCTTTAGACACCAGGTGATAGTGGTAGATCTCCCCTATGACCGACTGATTCTGGGTATAGACATACTCAGAAGACTTAAGACAATTATTGACTGTGTAAATGGAATTGTATGGTCACAAGCTAAGGTTCCTATAACCTATGAGAAATCACATGTTCAATCTGATCGTAATTGCCATGTGATAGAAGAAAGACCTGACTCAATTGAGGTACATTTTAGGAATAGTCAGTCACCTGACATGACTATCCTGCAGATGAATGATGCAATAGCACCTGTAGCTGAGCATTCCGTAAGAGTTGCTCCAGAGAGGATCCAGAATGTCTCTCTGGAAGGTGATGTTTTAACCATTTCTCTCCACAGGGACTATGTTGAATCTGTAGATCTTGCAGATCATGCTCAATTCCTTGCCAGAATTGAAAGGGATAATAACCACTTATTCTTTCCTATTCAAATAAATGACTTAGGAAGAAGTAGGAATGCAAAGCTGGACTTAGAGTGAGAACAGCTTTATTAGCAGAAGTCTGTTAAAGCAGATCACTAATCCTAAAATTGTCAGGTACGCTTCCCCACATGACCGGTGGATCCAGAACCTGGAATGCGAATCAGAG